GCCTTTGTGGCCGATATCAATGCATGCCCTGCCAGATTTCTAGGCTTCACGCACGATGCGATTGTAGCGCTCGCTACATGACAACTTTCGATGAATCGCTCAATCCAAATCACGAACATGAGCTATGCTCTATTGTAGATCCCAATACCTTGAAGAACGCGTTCGAAGAACGAACCAGACGAGAGCCTACAAGACCAACCGATCTTCCGAGTTTCTTGTACGGAAATCGTGATGTACTTGCCGAATACACATAATGTGCAATCAATTCTGTAGGTCCTTCCTAGGTGTCAGGGACAATGATGTCGAGGATAAGTTCGAACCACACTACTATGCCACCGCGACCGATCGCTTTCCTTATAAATGCGCAAGAACCAAACATAAACGACTATACGAACTTCAACTCTGCAACAGGATATGAATTACCTTGGTACCTGCCAGCAACCTTGGTGCATGCTCCTTTTCGTGACTCAATATCAACGTTCTTGATGAGTTTTGTCATGAAAGCGGTGAACTCACGGCCGATGGTTAAATCTCGTATTTGCAAGACCTAACAAGCAAGCTTTTAAATGTTGACCACTGGCAGCATTCCGAGACAGATTGTTAGGAACTTACAACAACAGAACCGATGTCATGTCTCAAGCAAGAATCTCTCGATTTTGACCTTGAACATGGGACATTAGACTCGCCCTCATCGACTACCAAGAACTCACCTGGATCAGAAATACAAGCCATTGAAGGAGCAAGAACCTGTGCTTCACAAGATGATTTATCAGAATGATGCACATGTGGTGATGGTCAATGAAGCTGATACTCTGGACCGATGAGATGATCACGGACATTGTCCATCATGGATTTGTAGGGATGAGAGTTAAGAACCTTGGAGCACCAGCAGTAGCATGTTTTGTCCAAGGCCCTCCGAATAACGTCTCGATTGACCTTTGCTATACGGACGCCGGAAAGGTGAATGACAAGGAAACTTGGATTAGCACCGGTGCAGTTTTCCATGTAAATTTTGGCAATAGGTCCAGGGCGTTCGAGCCAGGGACTTTCGTCGAGAGCGAAGAGAAATATGAACAGATTTCGTCCTACGAACAAGCAAAACAAGCAGGAGTCAATGAATTCTTCAACATTCTGCCTTAAGAACAGCAATCGCATTTTGACAAGGAGACACGTCCTTTTCGTCCCTGGTTAAGCACTGGTCGACATTTCAGAAGTTCGCATATCTATCCAGAACAGTGTGCACGATCGTGAATGTTTCCAGAACACACTGTCGAAGTACTATAGACCTGACCATCGAGCCCAACACTTCTGATGCCGTCCGTTGGGACTCCGAAACTGATCTTAGGGACAAGACTCCTCTGGCATATACTAAAAGGCTCGATTCACTTATAGCCATGTTGAACATGGCTATTGCCATGTTGAACATGGCTATTGCCATGTTGAACACGGCTATAGCGAAGTTAGGGAGTAGGAATTTATAACATAAATAGCTAATATAGGGACGAGATAGGCGACGTGCGGCGCAGTAATATAGCGAAGTTCGCTCGGAGATGGCGCGAAGATAGCGTGAAGTTACAGAACGGGAAATGGACACCCGCACAACATCGTCTCAAAAGCATAGAATTGTGTTTTTTCAAGGCTCGAGCTCTCTGAGCGTATACTTTGGCCGCCTTTCCGTGCGCCGTATGGACGCCATGGCTTTGGCCGAGAGCCAGCAGTTTAACCGGCGAAAGCAGCAAGACTACACGGCTTTTGCTGAAGTGATGCCGGCGGGGGTGGCCAAGCATATTCCACGGGGAATTATGCCGAAGGTCGACATTTATACGTTTTGCATTTTCACGGGCATGGCTATAGCGGACATCGCCTGAGTAGGCTGGAAACCCGCGGACCTGGCAAGAGAGAAGAAAAAATAACAGCCGAGGAACGCGTGACCAACCAACAGACCCGACGAAATATGTAGAGTAGGCTAGCCAAATATTATATACAAAGCAAAAAAACCTACACCCCACCGCTTTTTGTGTTTTCCGCAGCCGTATGTGCTGCCTCAGACGCGCGGGTTGGGGCCGACCACAGGGTTCGGCGGAACGCGCGAAGACCCGGAGCCGGTCGACGAAGCCATGCCAAACGGTGGTGGCGGATCACCCAAGCGAGCCGCAACCAAGGCGGTGGCGAATATCCCCTTGTCCTCGTCCTACAGCTACACCTCGGAGGAGGAGGTGGAGGTGGAGGTGGAGGAACCGGCCCCGGAAAAAGAACCAGAAGAGATAGGCAGCGGCGCCAGCTCGCCGCCCTTGCCGGCACCTGCGCGACGAAGCCACCGAGAGACAAACACCACAGGGGGAGGAAGCAGCCAAGGAGTGGACGGGGAGGAGTGGAGGCAGTGGCGGCACGCCCAATCTGCAACCCGGCGGAGAGTCAGGCATGGAGCACCGCCAGCGAGTCTCGAGCCAGTGCCGGGCCTGAAAGCACTACAAGTTTGCTGAGGCAAGTGGCAAGGAGATCACCTGGGAGCAGGCCATGACAGCTGCCAACCAAGAGGAACTGGACAAAGTGGCAGGCGCAAAAAAAAAGAAGACCCGCACTGGCCGCTCGCCCTTTTCCCCCCAGAGCCGCCGAAGAAGAAGGGCGACGACAAGAAGGACCACGACGTGCAAGAAGGACAAGAAGGAGAAGCGCAAGAAGGAAAAGGGGAAGCGGGAGAAGAAGACGCCCTCGCCTAAGCGTCACAAGCGCCACGGCGGAGGCGGCGGAGGCGACGGCGACGGTGGGGGCGGCAGCCTGCCCAGCTTCGCAGAGCTGAGGAGGCGCGGCTGTCGGCAGATCGTTCTGCATAATTGAGTTCCCGGTGCGACCGGGGCTCAGCGCGACCACGCTACGTGCACCCGCGGGTGATTGGGCTGCGGATGCCGTTGTTCCCGCATAGTTTCCTGGATAAGGGGCCCTGGACGCAGTAGCAGCGCTATATATAGAGGGCCCCTGGATCACCACATAGTTTTGCGACACAGTTTTAACAACACCCTCAAGGTTCAATGTGGTTGGATTGTTGGTGTGATTCTGCGGGTACGTGATCTGGGGACCCGCACGCGGCTAGCGCCACGCGGTACGCAGACACAAAGTCTGGAAACCTTCGCGGATGTCGTCGAAATGTCGTCGGGTGTGGCACGCATGTCCGCGGTACCCACAAGTAATAAGGATCCTTTTCATTGGGGATGTCGTCGGATAGAATATATAGGTTCTCCAACGTCGTCGGATTGTCGTCGGGTCGGTGAAGCAACATAAAACACGGGGAAAAAGACTTTTACGCGCGCTTGCGCCCGTCTGGAAAACGTTGTTTTTCTAACGCGCGGCGAAGATAGCGCGAAAATTGCGCGAGGTCACCGCGAACGTATATAGATGATATAACATACATACTCACTTCCCTATATCCTTGCTATAAGATTGATAACTCGTTTCGAGCCTTTTAGTAAGAACAACCAATCAACACAGATACATCGCGCCGGATTTCCAGAGGTCATGATCGGCATTCTCCATGCCAACGCGCAATTGTGTCGCAAGAAAGGCATGCCTAAGATCACTGCCTGTTTGTCCAGGTTTATTAGGAACAGCGTGACAATACATGTCGATTACCTGACCGGAGATGGAAACCAAGCCGTCAACCGATGTTTCGATTCACAAACTGTGATGGGAATCCGATGTGGGCCCATCCACCATGACATCCGAGAGTATATGACCACAGTCAGTCAGCACTGTTCAATCGAGAACTGAAGCACGATGTATTTCCGAACATATGCAACACTGGGAACGTACGAACCAAGTCCAGTTTCAAAAGTACTTTGAAGGCTGTCAGAGTTCGATTCCATCTTTGGAGCAGTACTGTCGTGGAAAAATGGAACAGTCACCAACGCATGGTCTGTCACAAGTACGCAAAGAGTGACCATTCAAGCTTCCATCCAAATGAACTGTATCAAAGCCTTATTTTCGATCCTGCTCTTGATGTGACAAGGATGGAGCAATTCGACCAGCTCCCAAGATCCCGTACACTATAGAATCCTGTGAACGTTTCAAAATTTTGCCGCATGAAGCACTGTTGATTGGTGGAAATGGAAATGACCAAAGCTGGCATTATCCTTTACAAGTGACGATCAAGCGAGTGTTTTCCCCAGCCGCTACTGGCCAAGACCGACAACTAAGAACTCTTGAAAAAGAGAATCTTTAATTATATATATATATATAAATTATATAAAGGTCTTCCTTGTGTCAATTATCGACCAAGGCAATTTCACGCACAGAGGTTAGGAAAATTGTGTCTGTTTTGTGTTTCCTTTTTCCTAGAACCAACCTCTGTATGGTCTCACACTTTATGTACATACATGACTGATACATTTGGCCCAAGACTGAGAAAAGCCGCTTGCTTTCGCAACCGACTGCATTCGACTCGTGTCCGAGCATCGTCCGATTGGACCTCTCTCGAGACCGTGTTCTTTCCAAGGGAAATCCACTGCATTGCACTTCGTGTGCCCCCCCCTCAGATCGAATCCCCCCTGGCCCCTGGACGAATCACTTCTCTCAATTATTTTTTATCGTTTGGGTTCGAATGAATCTGCTGCTGCTGCTTGGTGGTCTGCTGCTGCTGCTGCTGCTGCTTGGTTGGTCTGCTGCTACTTGGTGGTCTGCTGCTGCTTGGTGTGCTGCTGCTGCTTGGTGTGCTGCTGCTGCTGCTGCTGCTGCTTGGTGCCTAAGCTGCTGCTTGGTGGGCCGCTGCTGCTTCTGCTGCTTATGCTGCTGGTTTGTGGTCTGCTGCTGCTGCTTGGGGGGTTGCTGCTGCAGCTGCTGCCGACCAACCTTTCGTCCACCCCCTTTTCTCAAGTGCAAACGTTCGCAGAATTACAATGAAATACATAGCTTGGCAACGTGGAGCTAGATGGATGAATGGGTAGATAGATAGACAGATTCCGCACTTGAAACCTCATGGAGCTGTTGTGGTGGTGATTTGCAATTAGGCAGTGGGAGCAGCAGACATTCACGACACCGAAATCGCAGCTTGGATGAATGGGATGAGACGTTGAATTTGAAAAGGCAATCGCAAAAGAGTCAACATCTAATACTATAAAGAAGAAAGGAACCTATTGCATTGAAGTGATGTGGTGTGTGATGGTTGTGATTGTCATGCGTTGCGGGGATTGTGATGCGCATGTGACACGCGGTGGAGCATACGCACGTGAATCCTTTTTCAATCATGTAGTTTGTGGTGAATTGTGACATGATATGACATGATGAAGTATGATGCGACAGTATGATGGTGACGCGTACTTTTCTTTAGACACCTCTACTTTTCTTGACTTGTCTTTGGAATTCTTTTCTGGTCGTGCGTACCGCCTGCTTTAGCCCGCAAAACCGGTGCAACACAGCTGTCCTGCTAATGGTGTTTTTAGTGGTCCCATTTTCTTCGTTCAGGCGACGACCGGCGACGTGATGATCGTCGACGAGAGAGTCGAGACAGTTGTGTCCTAAGTAGAGACAGGGGAGGAATGGGTTTTCACTTCTAGTCGCACTCAAGCCAAGATTGTGACCCTAGTCGCTCAAACCGCCTGGATTTCATTTTCCTGTTTGGCTACTACTGTTGCACTTCTTGATCTCAGCTCCAAGCCATCTCGCTAACAGCTGATCACTTGCCTAACCTCAGCCCACCCAAGATTCTAGACCCTCAACTTTTGCCGCTTTCCAGTTGAAAGCCACTATTGAGGATGCTTTGGAAGTGACAGACTTCAGATACACTCAGAGCTGTTCTCTTTATACTCGGAAGCTGCAAGGAAGTCGGCGAAGGCATTGAGCATGGCAGCCCAGTGGCACAGAACGCCTTTGGAAAAGAAGCTGGCGTTGCCCTGTCGATGCCAGTTCCACTTCTTGAAATTGTCCCCAGGCTTGCGTGCTGCCTTGTTTTTTTTGCGAGGTTGATCTTCTCAAGAGCGCTCTTATGAAGCGCAGACCAGCACAGCGCACCGCTCTAGTTTGAAAGGTGCCTGATAACAGTGATGACTTTAGATTTGAGGACAAGTTATCACGCAACAAACCATATGATTGATGTGCTGGCAGGGCCATGCATGCTAAGTTTCCATTGGTGTCATTCTCACTGCCAATGATGTCCTTTGCAGCGCGCAAAACGAGACGGAAAGGCTCAGTCGTAGGTCTTCTCCAATCAGCAAAAGATGCAAATTTCACTTGGGATTCCTTGTGCAGCATGTGCCTTTTGTATTCACAAGACTCGTTCTGAGCCGTTCTGCGTTGGCTTGGCCGGACACAGTATAAGAGGATTCCCACAACCATCATCACTGAATCATGTCCTTCTTCCGTTCTGTAGGTCTCAAAATGGCAAGCACTCCTTAATCCGAGATACAGCATCAGCATGCAGCTGCTGAGGGCCTTTATGGGGTACAAACAGGACAACGAGCTGTTGAGCATCCACGCGTGGTTGTTGCTGTTGCACAGCGTAGCTTCCTACAGGCTGAAGAATGCTTGCTACGTTGCCCGCATGGCTGCTTGCCAGCAGATGGTGACCTGATGCGCTGGAGATGGCCTGCTTGCGCGAGAGACCAAGACTCGGATGCAACTGGTTTCACACACAGGATCATAGAGGGAGACAGAGTTTAAAAGTTGTGCAGTTTCTGCACAATTCCGCTTCTCTACTCAGATCAGCAAGCTGTGGGTTTGTTTCTCAAGGCCCTGACGATTGTCACCGCAGTGTCGGTGTTAGCCTGAGCCACAAATGACAACAGACAATTGTGTTCGATGAGCATCCAATTTGGGTTACAGTATCAAGTGTGCGAGCGGTTTGACAAACCGGAGGTCTTTTTTGGCAAGGCAAAAATTAGTTTCATAGTGCTTTATATGCCAGTAGCAGAACTATGCAGAGTCACTGGCGTGACTGGCGTGTGTGGTTTGTATATAGCCGCGTTTTGTTGCTGGTGGCTTGGAAGTAAACACGGTGCCGTGCCTTATATTCTACGCAGCAGCTGGATGGGGGGTCGTCAAGCACCTAAGAAAGACTCCGGCAAGCTAAGGCGAGTTCATGCATAGATTCAAGAAACATCACGAATCAAGACGCAACACTGGGCAAGGACGCTACTAGGAGCACAGAGCATCGCTACTAGGAGCAAGGATGCTATTAGTAGCTCCTGGCCTTACTATATACTAGTAACAAGAAGCTACTAAGAAACAACACTAGCAAGAATGCTACTAGTAGTACGGCCAGGAGCTACTAGTAATTACTAGTAGCGTCCTTGCTCCTAGTAGCGATGCCCTTTGTTACTAGTAGCGATGCCCTTGCTCCTAGTAGCTTAAGAAACACTGGGCCAACACCCCGAAAGACCAAATGAGAACATCGTCTTGTAAGACTGCGGCTACTGGCTACTGCTACTGCTGCTACGACTGCTGCGACTGCGGCTACGTTCAGGACTACAACTGCGGCTACGACGACGACTGCTCCTGCTTCTGCCATGGCGCCGCTGACTACTACTGCAATTGCGACTCACGGTAGTACCACCATCACCACAACAACAGCAACAGCAACAACGGCAACAACTACTACTATTATTACTACTATACTCCTCCTGCTGCTGCTGCTACTCCTGCTACTGCTCCTGCTCCTGCTGCTTCTGCTTCTGCTTTTGCTTCTGCTTCTCACGACGACGACAACCACTACTGCTACTGCTATTCTACGGCACCACCACTACGACATCGACGAGTAGGAGAAAGGTTCTTTGAAAGGTGCTATTGTGCTACGTGCTATGAAGGCCAGATTTCATTGTTCGGAGTGATTCGGAGCGACGCTGTTTGAGAAGGAGATGGGCTGCCGGATGGACAGCCGCATAAAGTTCAAACCAGTTGCAAATCGCTACTGACTGTTTTCGTATGTCACAAGCCGAAGTGTGTTCATCTTGCTGATCCATGCTAATCCCACGTTCGCCAGTTGTGGCTTACGGCCAGCCAGCTGCATGTGAGCCAGTTTCAGCCCCAATGTGTGTGATTCACTCACTGTCCCGAGAGCCTCGCAAGTGTGCGCAAAAGTGTTGCAACAGGTCCATTTTTGCGGCTTTTCAATCATGGCAACTTTGAGGTCTGCGGTGCCTTTGGATCAGGACGGTGGTGCAAGGTTTTAAACTACGCATGGAGATGCCTTGATAGATAACATATGCATGCTGCATGTTTTTAAGTCATGGAGTTTAGGCCAGCATATTGCAAGGACTCTTCAAGTTCGTCCGCACCGGACGAGACAAAACCTGAGTACCACTGGATACATCTGGTTCTTTGTGTGGCTGTCGGTATATATATATATATTTATTTATATGCACATACAAATGTTTTGAAACATATCATAAGATTCTGAGTAGCCGGGGAACATGACCTTCAGGCCAACGCGGCAGAGAGATACTCTTATATGCACAATTGTTAGATTGATGCATTATGAATATGCATTCTTCGAATGCTCGTGGGTGACGGCGCAATGAGGTTTATCCACCTATGCATTTGCAGCGACGACTCAGATTTTCGCCGGATGTCTTATCATATGGGCCACGCATTGTTAGCTTTTGTGCTAAGATGCGTATGATGTGTATCATGTGTGAAGCTTGCAACTGGTTCTCAGCACCAGTCGAACCATGTTATACCTTCAGCCCCTCTCTTGGGTGACCTGAAGATCTCTCATCATTGCCGTGTCCAAGGTCCAGCGGTCGTGGCCATTCGTTCTGCAGTCGCTTCATCTCGGCAAGCGCATCGATTTGTGCTTGGACCTTAGCTTCGCCAACGTAATGAGTCAGTCCAAGGTTGCCAGCATATGAGTATGCCTGTGGTCAAAGTCTTGCCGCAACAGCTTGCTCGCCTAGGTTTCACCTTGTCACAACACCAGAGTTATCAGTGTCAAGGGCATAGCATCTTAGATCTCTTGAGGCTTATGACCTCTTGCTGAATGGAATCCTGCTTTGGCAATGGCACCATATTCACACACGTATGCGCGTACACAGGGAAAGGGTGGCGAGTGAGACAATCCAGAACCTCCTAAGTCCCCGGCCTACAAATACAGGTGCAGGCGGCAAGACCGTTAAACTAAAGTACAGTCTGGTTGGCATGGTCGTGTACATGTGCATGGAGACGTTCTGGGCCTAACCTTTTGCCATATCTGCCACATCAGAAACTTGCAAATCGCAGGTACATGAGAGTGATCAGCTGTCACATCCAGTGCAATCAGGTAGCTTCGTCGGACATGGTCCCTGATTGTATGCCACGCCCCCCTGCTGTGAAACAATTTTCAAAGCTGCGAAAGAACCTATATATCCGCCTGTGATAGCGGTTTGCACACACTTATGGAAATGCGTACTGAACTGAATGCCACTCGCCACACGGCAACCTAGGTGACCATATTCCTGAAAAGTCGTGAGATGGGGACCTGAGCACCTTTAGTTAAGGACCAAAAAGTCCACCGCAACGAAACGACGAACAGGCCCAATTGACGGCGGCCGCTCACATCTGCAGAATGCATTAGACCTTTACTGGAGAGTGGAGTCACAACTTGTGCAAAAGTTCAAACCATCGCAGGTACAAGTCTGTGCGTCCACTCATTTCTCTCGCTTCGTTGGCTAGCGTCGAGAAATGGGCGGCTAGCCCCCTGTATTAGTCTAAACACAAAAGTGCAAATCCGATAAAATCCAAAGGGATCCCTGTGACCCCAAGGGCTATACACACACACGCCTCCCACAAGGGGAGGCCGGAAGAACTAAGGCAAGGACTGATGTGCATGTGTGCGCACGGCAAAGACAAAAAGATGAAGACATGAAAGGGGGACAAGACAGGACAAGAGAGAACGTGGTTGCGATGAAGAGGAGCCAAGTGAACAGGGACAAACAATGAACCCCACTTCATTGTCAAACCTGGGCGACCTGAAGCCTGGGTTTGAAGTGGATGTAGATGTGCATATAGACGCACCAAGGAGTCGGACCGATGTGCGCGCAAGAGAAGATAAGGGTGAGGATGACAGGACATGAAGACAGAAAGGACATGAAGGAAAAGAAAGAAAGGAAGTCTGTGGGGGGCAATGAAAAGGGAACCAAATGAAAGGGGACCAACCGATGAGCAACCAAACCTCATTGAAGAACCTGTTGTAAGTTTGTAAACACGCTGCACGCGAGGGAGGGAGGGGTAGGGAGAGAAAAGAGGAAAGAAGAAAAGAAAAAGAATAGAAAAGACGGTGTTCCCAGCTACGACACAAGCGTTCAAGGACACACCAAGAGAAGAAGAGAAAGGTTCCCAGCTATGACGAAAGCATCCAGGGACACCCAAGCAAGAAAGAAAGGGGAAAGAAAAGAAAGAGAAAAGGCGAGAGAAAGAGAACGAAAAAGGGGCGGGAAGCAGGGGAAGGGGATTGGTGTTCCCAGCTACGAAACAAGCGTCCAGGGACACACCAGGGAGAGAGTGGGGTGTACCTGAGTGTTGCATCCGGGAACACCCCAAAACAAAAGGGAAGGAAGAGCGGGTGGGGAAAGGGGAGGAAAGGGATTAAGGCCTCGACAGGTCCCAATGGACCTTGAATAGCTCTGGTCGCTGCGACCACGTAGTGCGTGCCCGAAGGCTGCCCACTCAAGACCGCTCCGGTCACCTAATGCCTTGCTCGAAAGCTGCCTACTTGGTTTCAATAATTCAGCAAGTCTTGGCAAGTATTTTTGGCATAAGCGGCATAAGCCTCCAACGCTCGTTCAACGGGTTTATAGGGGGCACTCGTCGGGCTCACCCTGGGCTGGCGTGAAGCCAGACACACTTATGGAAATGCGTACTGAACTGAATGCCACTCGCCACACGGCAACCTAGGTGACCATATTCCTGAAAAGTCGTGAGAGGGGGACCTGAGCACCTTTAGTTAAAGGCCAAAAAGTCCAGCGCAGGGAAACAACGAACCTTTACTGGAGAGTGGAGTCACAACTTGTGCAAAAGT